AGCTTTTGGAAGTCTCATAGTAATAGAGACAAAAACTAGAAAACTAGAGATCAGGGTCTACCAGGCTTTCAGGTAAAAATCCTGAATGGCTTTGTCCTAGGAGAGGCAAACCAGTTATACATCAGCCCTCATGAAGATGAAATAGATTCTCAGATCATCTTAATCCTTTTCTAAAATTTATTTATTTATTTATTTAATTTATTTTTGGCTGCGTTGGTTCTTCATTGCTTCGCACGGGCTTTCTCTAGTTGCGGCGAGCAGGGGCTACTCTTCGTTGAGGTGCGTGGGCTCCTCATTGTGGTGGCTTCACTTGTTGCTGAAGCACGGGCTCTAGGAGCATGGGCATCAGTAGTTGTGGCACGTGGGCTCAGTAGTTGTGGCTCACGGGGTCTAGAGTGTAGGCTCAGTAGTTGTGGCGCATGGGCTTAGTCGCTCCACAGCATGTGGGATCTTCCCAGACCAGGGCTCGAACCCATGTCCCCTGCATTGGCAGGCAGATTCTTAACCACTGCGCCACCAGGGAAGCCCTCATCTTAATCCTTGATGGACCAAGGTTATCTGCTTCTACTATATCTGGCCCCCAGAAGAAAAGTAAATTATTTCTAGAGGATGAAACATTATCCAGAGAAAATTTTTAAAACACTTCATATACAATTTCTGGCATTCAACAACAAAAAAATATCACAGGCATGCCATGAATCAGATGAAGGAAACCAAGATAAAACAGGTGATATAAATAAACCCAATAGTGATCCAAATATTTGAGTTATCAGACACAACTTTAAAAAAAAAAACTATGATTACTATGTTCAAGAAATTAGGTGACAGGGACTTCTCCAGCAGTCCAGTGGTTAAGACTTCACCTTCCAAAGCAGGAGGTGCAGGTTTGATCCCTGGTCAGGGAGCTGAGATCCCACATGCCTCGCAGCCAAAACAACCAAAACATAAAACAGAAGCAATATTGTAACAAATACAATAAAAACTTTTAAAATGGTCCACATAAAAATAAAATGAAATTAGGTGACAAAATTATTGACATTAGAAAGAATCACATGGGGATTCTAGAACTAAAAAACACAGCTTAAATTAAGCACTAAGTAGATGTTAGATATAGCATAATAGAAGTTTAGTGAACTGGAAATGAGTTAGCAGAGACTATTCAGGCTGGAGCATTATGAAAAAAAGGAATGAAAAATAATGGAAGAGTGTAAGAGACATGGAACATGGTGTAAAGGTTCAATATATGTTTAATTGGAAGGAATACCAGATTGAAAAGACACCAGAATTGACAAATGATATCAAGCCACTGACTCAAAAAGCTCTACTAATCTCAAACAGAATGAATACAAAGGAAATCATAACTAGGCACATCATAGTCAAACTGCTGAAAACAAAAGAGAAAAAAGGAAAATCTAATTGCAGCCAGAGAAAAAAGGCACATTACATTCAAAGGAGAAACAATAAGAACGGCAACTGACTTTTCAACAAATACAATGAAATGATATCTTTAAAGTGCTGAAATAAAATAACTGCTAACTTAGAATTCTATTCTCAAGGAAAATATCCTTTTAAACGAAGATGAAATAAAGCTGATTTCAGAAAAACCAAAATTGATATAATTAATTGCCAGCAGACCTACACTAAAATAAACACTAGAGGGATTTCTTAAAGTTAGGAAATAATGATGCTTAAAAAATAAAAAGTGAAAGCGTTATGAAGAATAAAGAGTAAATATGTGGATAAAACTATATGAACACTGACTGTATTAAGCAATTATAATAATGCATAGAGAGACTTAAAATATATGTAGAATTAAAATTCAGGTCAACAATAGTATAAATGATAAGAGGGGATTGACCTAAAATATTTTCTATCATTGAATTGTGGAAGAAGCAGTAAAAGTATTAATCTACAGAAGACATAAATTGAGGCATGTATGTCGTAATCTCTAGGGTAACCACTAAAATAATAATTAGGGGGCTTCCCTGGTGGCGCAGTGGTTGAGAGTCCACCTGCCGATGCAGGGGACATGGGTTCGTGCCCCGGTCTGGGAAGATCCCACATGCCGCAGAGCGGCTGGGCCTGTGAGCCATGGCCACTGAGCCTGCGCATCTGGAGCCTGTGCTCCACAATGGGAGAGGCCACAACAGTGAGAGGCCCGCGTACAGCAAAAAAAAAAAGAAAAAAGAATAATTAAAGACTGCAAAACTAACAGGGCAATAGAAGGGAAATGGAATGATAAAAGTTAATCAAGGGACTTCCCTGGTGGTGCAGTGGTTGGGACTCCGTGCTTCCAGTGTAGGGGACATGGGTTCGATCCCTGGTCGGGGAACTAAGATTCCGAATGCCATGTGGCACAGCCAAAAATTAAAAAAAAAAAAAAAGTTAATTGATTCATCTAGACAAATTATCCAATCTCTCAGATTCCTTCAGCCCTTCATGGTACCAGTCTTGGGAGAAGCCTTACTATTTCCATGAAGTGTCACATTTTTACATGCACCTGACTTTCTCCAAAAGTCCTCTATCTGGTACACTGAATGATGATAAAATCTGAGGGGTTGGGCTGCATCAGCTGCCACAGTGGTGTCCGGATTTGAGGGGCCCTCTCTTGTCCCTTTCTTTTCATCTTTAAAGCTCAAAAGTAGGGTTTCCCTGGTGGCGCAGTGGTTGACAGTCTGCCTGCCGATGCAGGGGACACAGGTTCGTGTCCTGGTCCGGGAAGATCCCACATGCCGCGGAGCGGCTGGGCCCGTGAGCCATGGCCGCTGAGCCTGCACGTCTGGAGCCTGTGCTCCACAACGGGACAGGCCACAACAGTGAGAGCCCAGTGTACCGCAAAAAAAAAAAAAAAAAGCTCAAAAGTAGAGTAAACGAGAGATCTAACAACAGGCAGCCTTGTCTCTCAGCCTCAATTTTTCATAGTGACACAGCCAAATTATCTGCCCATTCAGGTGTGCATCTGTGGCCCCCAGACATTTTAACTACACAGTGACTAGCCACCAAGAAGCAAATGAACTGCCCATTCAGCAGTGTTTCTGGGACCTATAGACATTGTGGCCATACAATCATAAGGCCATAAGTTCACATGGCCTGCCAGTTCAGGGGCATTTGTGGCCCACAGAAAATGAGGCCATTCAATCATTAGCACTACTGGTGATTTGTCCTCAACCCCAGAGAGGATGCTTCCCACCCCTCAAGTGAAACAGTTCAACTTTTCTGCCATGTTCACTCCACATTAGGTACCACTGTCAGGCAAAGGGCTCAATCACCAGCAAGCATCATTGAGGCAGGCTGGGTCACAGACACATGGATCAGCACAAAGCACAAGTCTCACATTCTCTCGTTATCCTGTAGAGAGACATGCTTGGGTTGGGTGCAGCTGGACCAGGACCACCCCTGACAATCTTCCTTTTCACAGCATGAGCATGAAAGTGCCACTGTAAGCAGAGGAAAAGTATTTGAGCTCAGGTGCCAGATGTTCAGGGGAATGCTGAAAATGACAGCTGCCCAGCAACCTTGTGGGAAGTTGAGATCATGAGCAGCCCCTCACTCTATCTGGGGGAGGAGGAGCCACTGGTCCCGCCTAGCCCACTGTCAGGCCACCCAGAGAAAGCCTCTTATTATTCCACGTATAATCCTTTTTGTCTCCCAACACGTTCTTTGGAAAGAGTTCTATGGTGAAATACATTTGGAAAATGCTGTATTTTTTTTTACCTTTTTTTTTTTTTTTTTTTTTTGGGGTACGGGGGCCTCTCACTGCTGTGGCCTCTCCCGTTGCGGAGCACAGGCTCCGGACGCGCAGGCTCAGTGGCCATGGCTCACGGGCCCAGCCGCTCCACGGCATGTGGGATCTTCCCGGACCGGGGCACGAACCCACGTCCCCTGCATCGGCAGGCGGACTCTCAACCACTGCGCCACCAGGGAAGCCCCTGGAAAATGCTGTATTTTACAGACCTTTTGGGAGATCTATATAGTATCCTACCTACATAGTATCCTAGTGGTTGTAGAAGTCTCTCCATTAAAAAAAATAACACATCTAAACAATGTTTCCCAAGTTTTTATGATCATAGAACCTTTTACTCACATCATGATTGTTAATAAGCTAGAGAACCAGTGTTTCATGGAAGACATTTTGTGAAATGCTGACCTAGGGCAGGCATAGCAAATACGTTTCAACATAATTACCAACTCTGATTGGTAGAGGTAGACTAGAACATACTGTTGAGAAGAATTCTAAGAGCCTGTCTGACCTTGACCAGAAAGAGTAACATTATTTTTTTTGAATTTTATTTTATTTTTTTATACAGCAGATTCTTATTAGTTATCTATTTTATACATATTAGTGTATATATGTCAATCCCAATCTCCCAATTCACATTATTGACAAACGATAGCTGCCGTGTATGTAGAATATAATGGCAGCATAAGGGCAACAGATTTGCCAGTCTTGATCTAGGTTCTCTAGCTTTATTTTCTCTGGCAAAAGATTCCTCTAGGTCAGAATCGGTGACTTAAGAATTCCTCCAACAGGAACACAACTTGGGAAATGTGAGTCTTCATTCATTATAATTTGCTCATGTTCACTGAGTCTTTACTGAGTAGACTGGTCCCTCAGGAAGGGAAGAAAATTCTTTCCATTGAAAGGAATGCTCTCAGAGGTGTCATATAAAATAAATCCTGGAATCCATCTCCAAGCTCAATACCCAGGAGGATGCTCTTTACCCGAATGCCCCCATGACTACAGCCTTGGCCTCTGAGGTCAGGGGCATTTGGGCAGAATCTAGGAATTTCTCCCAACTCTGAAGCCTCCTTGGCCCTAACACCTATGAATGTTTTGGGCTTCTCCACTGTGAAGCTGCTCAGGGCTTTGGAGGCCAGTACTTTGCACTTGAGGATCTGCTGTCTGAGATGTGGGTCTGTGTGTATGTACCCGCACATCTATAAGAACATACATGTACAAGTGTGTACAAAGATAGTGGGGAGCACAAATTAGGGCTCACTTGATATCCATAGGGTCCAGGGCCAGGAGAAGAAGACAATTCCATGACACAAACTACTGTTGCTTGCCTCAGCAGTTGATGCTTCAGTTTGCAGAGTGACACTGGAGACATCGGCAGGGATCAACTTCAGTCTGGAAGGAGGAAAAGGGAGACAAATCTTTCAATTTTAATGGGATTTTCAAAGATGTGCCAGGTATTGTCTGTTGGCACTCTGCGACATTCCCATTCCCATCCCCTCTCCTGTATTGCCGGGGCTGGAAGCATTGAGATTACATTTCTCAGACTTGCTTGCCAATGTGACCTCTCTGCATGAAATTTGGAAGGAAGAAGGGAGTTAGAAACCATACTTTTCCTCTAGCAGGAAGAGTAGGCAAGTATTTTTCAGCAGATGTGAGTTTTGTTTGGTTTTAATTTTATTTAAGTATAGTTGATTTACAATGTTGTATTAATTTCTGCTGTAAGCAGATGTGAGTTTTGCAGCACCTGCTAGACTCCTTGCTATGCTAATCACCCAACCACCCTGGGGCCATGGGACACCTGTGCTGTCAGCAATGGTTTTCTGCAGTTTTTTGACCTCTGGGTCTCAGAAAAAACTTCCTGACTTTCTGTACCATGGTGATCCTGAAAGCTAGTGGTGGCTCCTGACTTGTGCTCCTCCATTCTCTTTCTCACTTCCAGGAATGATGACAACTAGAGTGCCCTGGAAGCCATGTTGAAGAGGGCAGAGATGCCAACAGCCTCGATCTATATGGAGGAACACCACCGTTTAATATGGACTACCCATGGTTGATTCTTATGTGAGCAAGTAAGGTTGTGTCTGAGCCATTATATTTTCCGTCTATTTATTCCAGTAGTTTGGCTTACCCAGACTAATACAAGAGTTGTAGCATGTATCTAGTTACTGGTAGTCCCTGGGGTTGTAGACAGGGGTGTGCTTACAAATAGTGTCTGACCATCAGAGAGACCTCTGTGGGTCCGTTTTCCCCAGAGTGGTGCCTGCATGGGTATGCAGACCTATGAGGAGAGCTATTGGGGTTGGCCCAAAAGTTTGTTCGGGTTTTTCTGTAACATCTTATGGAAAAACCCAAACAAACTTTTTGGCCAACGCAATATTTTGACCTTTTGACCTGGGCTCAGTATAGCTGGGTCCTCTTGGGCAGCTGAGACCTGTGTTCAGTACAACATGGAGACAAGGAGGCCTAGAATGGAGATCACCCTGGTGGTTCTTATAAAGTCTTAAATAATCCATCATTGAACAATGCCCATTCCTTTACTATTCTCTTCCCCCAGAAGCTTCTGTGCAACAGAGGGAGGGAAGGAGGAGAGGGGCACATTGGCTGGGAAGTCAAGTGGAACAGGTCCCAGTCTCAGCCTGTTAACAACTCCCTGAAGCATACTCTCCCTCCACGGGCCTCAGAGTCTTCAACCCCAAAAGGGAATTAGTGAGGGGTCTCACTAGTGAGATCAGAGAGCACCCCAATCCTACTCCCTCATCACTGTGTCTCCATGTGTGCGTGTGTGTGTGTGTGTTCCAAGCAGAAGTCATAGCTGCTAAACCAGAGGGGTCCGTAAAACCTTATTTGGACTCAAAGTGTGTTCTGAGGACCAGCATATTAGCACCACCTGGGAGCTTGTGAGAAATGCAGACACTCAGCATCCCCAACAGAACTGCTGAATCAGAAGCTGCAATTTAACAAGATCCCTAGGGGAACCCTATGTAAATTCAAGTCTAAGATGTACTGCTCCAGAGGACGGGGGGGAAAAGACGAATCACCTTGAAAAATGAATGGGATCTGGAGTCAGGACACCTAAATTCTAGTTTGAGTTCTGCCACTTACTTACTCCACAAAATTCACCAAGACATGTAAACATCCAGATCCTTTTCTTAAATGACGATGTGCTCATGACTACTGAATGGTATAGAAGTCAAGGGTATGCATTCTGGAGCCAAACCGCCTAATCTTAACTCTTTATTTCATTTACTAGCTGTGAAGTGTTGGATAACTCACTTGACATCTGTATGTTTCAGTCTCCCGATCTGGAAGGTATGGTATAATAATAGTGAGGGATTCTACTAATAATTTTAAATTACAAATGAATATAAATAACATAGCACAGTGCCTGGCATAGTCTAAGTCCACAGTACATATTATTATACTCTGGCTTATTACAACATCCTTCAATAACAGAAAGACCTTGAAAGTAG